ATATCACCTTGCTTATAGTATCGCAATATATGGGATATAATCGTATCGTGACCCCTCTGTCATGATATGTATCGTATCGCCAAATTCTTGCCAATACACAGCCTAATGAATACAACGTGTGTGATGTCAGAGATTAAGATTATAAAGTTGTCTGGCATTAATAGTAAATATTTTCAACAAACTGCTAACTAAAAACTAGATATCTGAGTGTAACAATAAATGCTAAAAGTAGCAAAAGGCAATAGCTTTTAACTAAACTTAGCACAAGCATTAATAATATTAGATTGAGTGGAATTAGCGTTAGCAGTACTAGCATTAGCAGAAGTAGATTTCAAACAATATCTTTGAAGGATTTAAAGAGATCTGTGTAAAACCAAAAGCCTCCTGAACAAGCTGAAGGTTTGATATATAAATGGTTAAATTGGCACCATTCATATGAAATAGATAGATGCCAAAAAAAATGCAAAAGGAAAGAAAAACTAGAAAACAATAGTGTGTGGCAAAAGACCAAGAGCAAACAAGAAGAATATAAATGAGATCTGAAACCCAGTCAACAATACTGGGGACTTTCCAGAGGCGTCTGGGAACAGTATCACCTTTATTATGATACGTATGTAAACCATACCGAATCACCCAGAGAGGATTTATAAAATACAACAGAAAAATAATCTCCAACTGGATACTCTAAGAAAATATTTGCACCAGTAATAAGTCATAAATCGAAAGTTGGACTGCCGGCTCGACCCGATCACAGCACCGGTTGTAAAAGCCCACTGTGGGAGGGATTCTGGTCTTTACAGTTTAATCTCATAACTTCAGTCAAACCAGATCTGAAATCTGGCATCGGAGCGCCTGACATAAACAATGAGAGATGGTCTGGAAAGAAGTCAAGACGCTGGCAGAGCACAGCTAACCGTCATGAAGATGAAAACCTCAAGAAATGCTGTTATTAATTTTTGACTGGGTCCAGTCCTGTGAAGATGTTTGTGTCTGCCGAGGGCCCCTTTCCCCCTCTCAGCTCTCCTCCACTTTCATGCCGGTTGCTGGGACTCGTTGTGTACRCTGAACAGTTCTTGGGGTTTTGTGAAGAAAAAAAGGAGAGAAAGAGAGAGCTGGCTTCCATTTTTCCAGCTCAACACGAAAAGGCTCGTATTACTACAGATCTCCACATCTGCCAGCGGTTTGGGGTAGAGGTGAAGGAGGAGGGGGGGAAGGGGAAAAATGCGAGAAAAGGGGGTGCTTTATTACATTTCAAAAGTTCAAACTCCAAGTTGGGCTTCCTTGGCATAAATTCACGAAGCTCCAGAGCAGACGGACTTCGACAGCTTCCCGTTGGAAACCTTTTTTTGTGCGAGGATTTCACACGAGACAGAGACAAATGGAAAAAAAGACGCAGGCCGTTAACGGGAGTGATGACTGGGCTGCAGTGGCTACGCTGAGCCAGGATCAGATCATGCAGTCATTTTTCACTGACCCATTAGACCTTTGTCAACCAACTCCATAAACTTCTTGGCAGTATTCATTTTAAACTCTGCGTGCTTTTGCAAAAGTCATATTTAGTTTGTATGGGAAGACTCGTGAGTATCTTCGTTTGCTGTTTTCTTGTAACAAAATGCCAAACGTTCAGTACGAGGCATGAATCCTGACCGCACAAATGGAGAAGAAACGTCTGCAAAATATGGTGAGAAAAAATGCAGAGGAGGTAAACTCACTTCGTTGGTGCTCAGGGTGAGGATTCGATCCAGGTCCTCGACTAGCTGCTTGAATGTGGGTCTCTGTGATGAAATGGCATGCCAGCAGTCTTTCATCATCATGTATCTGGGAGWGGAGCAGATAAAGAGATGGAAAAATAATCAAATCCAAGCTGGATTCCAGTTTAATCATGTTTAAAATGAATCTTTTTTGATACACCAATTAGTCAAGGAGTTCCTCAGGGCTGGTTACTTGGCCCACTAATACTTATACGTATGAAAGGCGCTTTATAAATGCCTTATTATATATATAGGCATTTATAAAGCGCCTTTCAGGACACCCAAGGATGCTGTACAATAGAAAAGAAACAACTGTAAATACATATATATATATATATATATATATAAATTTACTTATTATGCTGATGATATTTTGTTATATTTATTCATAAAACCTGATCAGTTCTGCTCATTAGGTTCTTCTCATTTTAGCCTTTTTGTTTTAATTTGAACTAATTTCAACAAACTTTACAGAGTCGTTCTGCGTTCTTACTAGCCTGGTAAAAACCGGCCCGYTGTCCTTTTTGCTTTGAAGAGAGGGTCTGGACTCTCAGCTATTGAGAAATGATTTCTTGCTGGCCTATGTTGAAGTTTAAAATGATCGGATTTGATTTACCCAACTGCTAACATTTGGCCGTGACGTACGATGTGCGCCAGCTCGACCGTGAAGGAAGCTAAGAAGCTAACTGGACATTGTTTGCGCTGTAAACAACCATCTCCTACTGCGAAGAGAGAAGCACCGAGCTGAACGAGATGTCTGTAAATGAGTGCTTCAGGCTTTGTGAAAACTGAAAACGGAAATTTCCCTGGTTTACTAGAATTTAAACCTGTTGCTTTTTTGTATTAGAGACTTAAACTGTGAACTGACTCTATTTGAATAAACTTTCAAAACTTTAGTTTCCATCTAAGTTGTCCACTTTGCCACTGAAACAAATTGCCAACAAATGAACCAAAATAAAAGGTTTTTAAGTTGCGTAATGTTTCCTTATTKACGGAGCTGTGCCATTGTCCATTCACTGCAGAGGTCTTATTCTGAATGAGGACACTGATAGCAGACAGGCACAGCTGTGCAGAGGCCTGACAGAGCGAACACAGAGTCCCGGATACAATGAGAACTGGGCGCAAGACATAATCTGTGCTCAGATAGACGATGGGCTGGAAAAGATACAAGTTTTGGTGAGAAAAAAGCTAAACTTACAGCTCATTGGTGCAGTTTCCAGGCTTATCCATGCGATGGCCCTCTTTAAGTAACTTGAAAAGCTCTTCAACGGGAATGCCAGGGTAGGGTGAGCCCCCTAAGGTGAAGATCTCCCACATCAGCACCCCAAATGACCAGCTGGAATAGGAAACAACAAACATATTTAAACAATCGTAAAGTTTGGAGTGGAAATGTGAGATTTTTCATGTAAACAGTGCCAAAGAGGTTTTTAGTCTACAGCCACATAAAAAAGGCTTAGTGAAATTAAACCAGGCTAACATCAGTGGTGTCGCTGCCCAGTTTCTCTCAACCAATGACTTGTGGTACAAACCCTCTGCCAGTGTTCCTCTGGCCATGCTCTCAATGGTGGCTTTTGTGCCCCGGCTGGCCGGTCACACAGACTGGCATTGTCTGATCACACCAAACCAAAGCAAACAYCGGACCACCCACAGCAGACAAAGGAGGTGTAAACACCAAGAGACCAAAAAAAAAAGAAAAAAGATGGAGGTATCCGGTTTGTAAAGCTAATTCCAATAGAGCATCTGAAAACCAGAACCACGCTCACGACAAAGACGGTGTTATTCTGTACCGACACATTTACCAACAAGCGGCTCGTTGTTGCAGCTACAGAAGGAGCGGTCCGACAAGATGAGCGTGCTCTGAGGTGAGATGTTATCAGCTCTTTCATCTGTTTGTTCTGTCCTYTCTATCACTGTGGAGGATCTCTGAGTCACTTTGTAACCATCTGACCTGCTGAGCTGATGTCCACCTGCAACGAGCCGTGACAAAACAAACAGACACTGAAGGGCCTCCTTTAATGACAAGTCTCTCACAACTATGATATAATTTAAAAAAATTATATTCCTATCCTGAAAATAACACACAGTGTCTATGGCACGTGTCAAACCCAAGGCTCACGGGCCAAACGTGGCGCACCATGACATTTTGTGTGGCCCTCGAGAGTTTCAAAGATGTATTGACATACATCTCAATTGTGCGGATTGTCCGTAATTTACAGGGATTTTCTCTCATTTTGCAGGTATACAGACGTATAAAGCAGCTCCAGGATTTTTTMAATTTTTACGGATTTTTTTCAAAAACTCAATTTCAAATTTATTGAACATGTCAGAGCCTGTAGGATGTTAAAAAACATCAAATAACCACTTTCCAACCTGCTCTGCAGCCAGAAATAAGTTCTCCTGTCCTTATATCCTTATTCACCCAAACCCTGTCCCCGACGCGTGTGAATAATACGGATTTTTAGCGAAAATTACGTTTTTTTGAGGCTCATTATACAGGTAAAATTCCAAAGGGGTTGACATGTATGTATTTATGTCTTAAAATAAGTCGCTTTAAAGCTAGCATTAGCAATAAACTCCATCTCCCATAATGCATGTTGATTATTTTACCAATGAAATGACGGCATCCCACCACCAGGTGGAGCTGCACTGGGTTCAGAATTCGCCATGCGATACCTCCATTTTGCTGCATGTTTACTGGCTACGTTTGCTGCAGCCCAGTTGTACTGGGAAGTGGGAATTTCCCACTTACTAGTCGTACATTTAAACTGGAACACTCCTCCAGTGGGAATTCCCCRTCGGAAAATGGGAGAGTTCAGATTTCAAGATGGCAGCTACTCACCACAACTCAACAGTGAGCAAAACGCTCTTACTTTTATTAGTATTTCTGTTTTATTTATTTCACATTTAGTCAGTTAGCAGTACTTCTCAGTGATTACAAAAGGATGTGTTAAAATGCTGATTCTATGCAGGAAATACCAGGTAGAGCTCAGTTATTTATTAGCGGGGCTCAGGAACGAGACGTTATTTTCAAAGTGCCCCCACTCCCAAACTCCCCCTACTGTATGACAAAATATATCTACACTCAGTATGTTGTGGGAGTTACTGTCAGCTACTACCACACCAAACTGAGTTGCAATCATTTTAATGTTCGCTAAAGTTGTGGCGGCCATCTTGAAAGGACAATAATGACAGTATTATGGCAAACCGCACTCACTTCCTGTTCTCTGCTCTTACCCCACCCCCCGAGCCGTGTGTTCTGGACCCATTTCGTTAAAACCACAGAAGGGTTTTTTCATTGAAATTCATGTATTCATTTAATCTGATGTCATGTATGGATCGCTGGGCGCCTGGTGACGTTTGGAANCACACACACACACACACACACACACACACACACACACACACACACACACACACACACACACACACACACACACACTCTACACACACACACACACACACACACACACACACACACACACAAACACACTCCTTAGACCTGCACAAAAAAGCCAATTACTGAAAGTGAGTGATGAATTCTAATTAGCGGTGAGCTGATACAGTGGCCATTTCATGTCTGTCCCACCCTACACTTACACACACACACACACACACACACATCCTTGTATTTGCATCAAACTGAGGATATTGTATTGACTTCCATTCATTTTTGTAACTGTATTTATGCCTAACCCAGACATGTTCCCTGAAATTAACCTTTACTGGTTTATAGTTAACACTAACCTGAACCAGAACTTAACTCACACCAAACCTCTAAACCTAACTAGTAAAACTAACCATTACTGATCTATAGTTAACACTAACCTGAACCAGAACTTAACTCACACCAAACCTCTAAACCTAACTAGTAAAGCACAGCAGAGCTGCAAACAAAATGAGGACATTGAAGAGGTCCTCACTGTACATCAAAGACCTCACTTTGATAGTAACTATGGTGAAAATGGTCCTCACTCTGTGGTCAAAACAAACGCACACACACACACACACACTCCTGTTTGTTCCCAAGTTATTGATTGATGTTGTGGTACAGGACATGGAGGTTAACATGCTGTTTGCATGCACAAACAAAAACACAGAGATGTGGACAGAATAAAAACATCTGAGTTCAGAGAGACACACACACAGGTTTGTTTTTATAACCCTGTGGGGACGGTGGATTGACTTCCTGATTGATTTTCTGGTAATTTTATAGCCTAACCCTGACCATTTACCTTAAAACTAACCTAAACTCAATTCACATCTTGGTCCTAAACCTAACCSCCCACCTGAAATTAGCATCCGTACCCTTGGGGACGGGCATTGGTCCCCACGAGGCTGCTTTTTTTCTGGAAAATTGTTCCCACAATGTAGGAAAAACGTGCCCACACACACACGCACACACATTTATTTCAAAGGATCAGCATCCTGGGCATTTATCTAATTGCTACACACACTGCAGCGTCTGAAGCAGAAACTTCAAACATTGTTGTCAGAAAGCATCAAACTCACTAAAAGAGAAGGATGCTCTTCCTTTGTTCTGTTTTTAGAACTCTTGATCTAAAAAATGACGGGGTGGAGACAAAGATGGGTCAACAATTCACTCAGCAGATGAAGGAAAATGAGTGTGTGTGTGTGTGTGTGGGGTGGGGGGGTGGAACTGGTCCAAAGTGATGTGCTGCACGTTTAAAGTGTTGCTGAGTGAGGAGGAGAGAATGACGCTGCTGGGACACGGCATTCAGACGTGGGGTAGGGGTCTGAAAAAGGTGGGGAGATTTTCTCTGGCTAAAGGGGGGGGGGGAATCAGGGGGGCTTCGGGCTCCTTGCAGGCCCTTTGAAGCCGGTCAGATTAGTAACACGGCATTGGCTGCAAGTCTAGCATGAAATCCTCACTTTTGCCACAGACTGGCCAGCGCTGGCCCCTTATAGCCAGACCCCCACCACACCCCCCACCCCTCAGCCATCGCAGCACCAGAACCTTTCACTCAGGTGTGTTRATAAAGAACCAGTGGATCACTTACACGTCACTCTGGTGTGTGTAGACCCGGTCAAAGAGCGCTTCTGGAGCCATCCATTTTACCGGGAGACGACCCTGAAAACACACACAAACACAAGGTTTTATTTCTATCCTTATTTGGACCACTCTCTAGCTGTGTTTCCATTGCAAATGTGCGCAAAACTTTGTCGATTTTCTGTTATTGTCGAAAAAACAGTTTCGCAACTGCAGTGTTTCCATTAAGTAAGAAATGTTATTAAAGTCACGTGAATACGTTTGTTCTCATGATAAGTCATTACAAACATGGCRGYGATGGATGTAAACACATAGCATGTTGCTACCACGACACTAGCGCTCATCATCAGAGGAGATGTCGGCGTCTTTTATCGAGGCTTTCCAGAGACAAGTCCCTACTTGGGAGCGGCTACGTATGCTGTGTTTTTGGGAAATTGTAGTCGGCGAGTTTACTATTTTATACTACTTCTGTGATATTACTACTACTTCTACTTCCTGTTATCGTCTTTGTCATCATCTTTTTCACCAATAGAAACAGCCGGTTGTTGATCACGTGACTCCTGTGATGTGAAAAAAGTGTTTCCATTGCAGTTTTGCGAAACACACCAATTTCGATACAGCCGAAAAACCACCTCATCCTAGTGCAAAAACATTTTTTTCCTAAATTGACGTGTTTCCATTGAGCAAATTTATTTTTGAAATTCTAATTTGCGCATTTTCATGGTCAATGGAAACGCAGCTATTGACTTCCATTTATTTGCCGCAATTTTTACACCCTAACCCTGACCACCAAACCTAAACTAACCTCACAGGTACCTGACCCTAAAACTAACCTAAACTCAATTCACACCTTAGTCCTAAACCAAACCCCCGACCCAAAAATGGAGTCCTACCATATTAGGACCAGTCTTTGGTCCCTATGACTACTGGTCTTGACAAGAAAGGTGTGTATACCATAAACGGTCCTAAATAAGTAACAAAAACAAGCACACACACAGAGAGAGGTGAGCTAAAATCAATCCATAAATTCATCTGAGATCATTCGCTGCTGCAAAAGCCGATATGTGATCGAGCCGTTTTAAGGAACGAACATCTAGAAAGAAGCTTCCCAAGAGAGTATGTACTTTGTTTGAGCAGCAGAGGTGATAAACAGGGTCACAGATAAAGGAGAGTTTATCTCAGGAAACCATTAAGGCAACCAGAGAAGCTAAGGACACCAGACAAGGTCAAAGTGTGCAGAGGGGCTTATTGGCAAAAAATAACCTCATCAGCTGAACTAGAGTCTGAGCTAGCATTTTGCTGCTTTTAACTTTTAGCTAGCCTTTTGATTTTACCAACTCAGTTTCAGGTTCTTCAGTATCTAAATTCTGTTTTCAGCAGAATATGCTGTTTCTCTTGTTACTAATAATTACATCAAGACTTATCACATGCAACCTGTTTGTTTAACAATGCATAAAAGAGAAAAACAACTAAAAAAGTTTATTTTAATCCTGAACAGACTCGGCTCGGTCTGCTGTCATTGTCCCAGCCCTCRCTACCATCATCATTTGTGAATATTGTTGTGGCTGTCAGCTACTTCTCAGCATGATCGTGCATGCAATGAAAAGGCAATCATGCATATTAAATGAGGATGTGCTCGCAGTGCTGATCTGCGGTGGGAAAGACGGACACTGCTGGGCCACTATGGAGATGTCAGTTATGTTTAATCTGCTTCTCTCTCTCTCTTTGGCTAATTGTGTAAACGCCGATGAAACCAAAAGAACAAGAGACCGAGGGGGTAAACAGTGCCGAGTCTCTAGAAGCTCCACATTCTCATCTTGCCTGGGAACCTGCAGCTTTTGCCAAGACACCAGCAATAGAAATGAGTAAAATGGTAGAACAAAGCACGTTAGAGAACCAGGACTGAAGTTTGAAGA